TGCAGGTGAGTTATAGCGATAGAGCATGTCAGCAATGAGGTTCGCAGAGCAAGGGCAAAAGCAGACAGGATGTTTAGCTCAAGGATAAAGGAAGAGATTCTTTTGGTGGGATTTAAACTCACAACCCTGTGCAGTCTAGGAGAGCGCTCTACACACTGGATGGTTTCATCTGCGATGTGTAATACACATGAATATGCATTGATGATTACACTAATAATCGTTTCATCTGCGATGTACACAGGCAGTGATGGCGAGTGATTTTGCCATGGGGAGGTTCCACTTTCTGGAGAAGCTCCTGCTGGTACATGGTCACTGGTCCTACAGTAGACTGGCCAGAATGATGCTCTACTTCTTCTACAAGAACATGGTCAGTGACAGACCTTTCTTCCTCCTTCTCCATGTATAATTAATTCATACAGTCGACAGTAGTACATGCACTGTACCATAAATGTTTTTTGCGTTGTGACTTCTTTCTTGACACATGAATTTATGGTAACTTGATAAAAGCGTAGTATTGTGTCACGAGTAGCAAATGATTATAATGCCATGTATGAATGAGTAAATCCATGCCAGCAGAGTGCTGTATATGCTCGATGTGTGTATGTATCACGTGCGACTGTGTAACTCTGTTTCAGGCGTATGCGACGCTACTGTTCTGGTGGCAGTTGTTCAACGCGTGGTCGGGCTCCAACCCCATCGACGGCATCAACCTCACCATCTTCAACCTGGTCTACACCTCCCTCCCCATCATGGTGGTGGGCGTGGCCGACCAGGACCTCCTTGCTCCGACTCTCCTGCGGGAGAAACACTACTATTCACAGGGCCGGCTCTCCTCTCTCTACACCCACTGGAAGTTTGGACTCACTGTGGCCGACGCTATCTACCAGAGCTGTGCCGTTTTCTTCCTCTCTTACGGGGTGAATTAGAGAATTAGAGAATTGATAACTGTGTGGGGTATGGTACTGTTTGTTGCCTAATGCATACACTGATAGAATACAATGGAACCTCCGAATAATGTTGGACCAGGTATTTGTCCTGTATAAGGAACTTGTTCTCTCTTTGGAGATTAATGTTTGGGACCAGTTTGTCCTTTAGAGGATTTTTGTGTTAATTGACTGTATAATAACCCTGAGATGATTTCACAGGTAAAGATAATTAACCCTGTGAAGGAAGCTATCTAACTGTCTGTAAGAGCAGAATTGGTATAATTATCTCTAAACCACTTCTCCTCTCCTACAGGTGTACTATGAGAGTGATGTTGGTGTGACAGAGTTTGGGTTTGTGATCAACATTGTCATTGTGATAGTCGTCTCCTTCCATCTCGCAGTGGAGACTCTACATTGGGTATATATACTGCTGCCGTTACTAATGTCCCTGCATGGTGCTTTTGTCCGTTGGATTCTGTTGTTACATATCAAAGCAGTGAATCCTGCATAGCATTATGAGAGTAACTTTGGCCTGCAATGAATCTCTGAACAAGGGACACTATGGGGCCAACGATTTTGTCCCTTTTAGAAAGGTCATCCCTCGACCATAATCTCGGAAGTCAAATACTGCGTATTAGCATAGAGTTGAAACATGGGGTCCTTTGTAGAGAGGTTGTCCCTATCTCGTGGAGTCCATTACTGGAGTTTCCACTGTAATCCCTACGTACCTCCAGACGGTGGTGAACCATGTGCTGTTGTGGGGCAGCGTGGCCATGGTGTTTGTCTTCAACTATGTGTACACGGCCATCGACTCCCAGCAAAAGTTCATGGACACCTATTGGATCATGTTTGCTGTCAGCTCTCGACCTCGGTTCTGGTTCCTCTGTCTACTGGCCCCTGTCGTCTGCCTCATTCCGCGGTCAGCTACATACATACTAGAGTGACACTATTAGCATTATTTTGAGTAATGCAACAGATGACTAAGTTTTAGGTTTTTAATACATTGGCTAAGGCGTGTGAATATGGTGTCAATATTAGAATGTGGCAGAAGACTAAAGATGGAACTAAAGTAGTTCCTTACGATACTACTGTCACATTCCCTTTACAGCATGTTACAGTTCGTGTCATATATGAATGTAAATGTATCTTTTCCCCCAGAGTCATTGGCAAGGTGGTGGAGCAGGAGTTTTTCCCGTCGGATGTCCTCAGAGCTAGAGCTGCTGAGAAGCAGAGGAGATCTCCCACACCCTCCCTCGTCACTCCGGTGGAGACAACCGAGGAGACTCATAATCATGCAAACAACTCAACACAAAGCAGAACTACCGTATTTCACGACCCTCTCTGACACACTCATATCACTGTGGCTCTCTATTTACGACCTGATACTAGGGGTTTTTAAAAAAGCGAAATGCACGAGCTGTGTGGTGTTTATTCAGGACTGGAGTATGTGTTTAACAACATAATTGCGTTAAAATTATTGAAGCGAATTTTTAGGGATCAGCAGATTCATATCCAAAAGTCACGTGATCCCTACGAGCACACTCCTCCATGTGCCCATGCATAATTGATTGCACACACTCGCTCGATTATGCTGACGTACCTTTCACCCTCTTGGCCTAAGAAAGTTCCTTTGCTAATGGAGGTAAAAAAGCAAACCCTAGAGTAATGCAAGCCTATCTAGAAAGATGCTGTGACTGGGTACGTTTAGCCAAGTTGGCAGTCAACCTAGTGTGGCAAACACTGCCTACGTGCGTTGTGGATAGTACACCTGTCTATGGCTAGTCAGCTATGTACTGATATAAGTCGCTGATCAGCCATCACCATGTGGCTACAGTCCGTTACCTGCACCCCTGACCTGCTTTGCCTCCTAAATGTCTCCGCAGAGAAGAAAGACAGAACAGGGGTATATAAGCAGAAAACCTATCAACACACGAACATAATTTTCTCTTCACACCACCACCCTTGAGTAAAAATAGGAGTCATTAGATCAAAGAGGGCTGAGGGAAAATGTGTGACACCTCTAATAGAAGGGAAGGAGTCATTACAATAACATCTCTTGAAAGTGAGTAGTAAAATGTGTAGACGTCCCAGGGAAGAAACCTGCATGTGGCTATAATTATACTATATACACTACTAATGACATTGTCCTTTGGTACTCCCCCAATGCATATATATGGAATTTCCTTCTAGCATAGCACATATCTACATGTTGAGGCATCTGCATGGTAGCAAGGTTTCTCGAGTTGAAAATAAAATATGGAGCTGTGAACAGTTATCCTCATTGTTTATTCATAGAGAGCACCAACCCCCTGTGATTCATTACATAATCACAAGTTGTATGCGCACATGGATGATAATTATTGTATTAAGCTGATCTTGAATCCAAGAGTTTATGTGTTTTTAAAGCTAATATAGGCCCTGACAGAAAGGTGTTATACCTAGAACAAACTCATAGATACGAATAAGAACACAGTTTTCAAACCACATGGACCTTAAACTATGACTCCAATCCTTATGAAAGAGGTGACAATGTGTCCAGAGCCTCCATAGTCCATAAGAATTTATATGGGTGTTATAATACTAGGCGCTAATACTTAATACATTCCATGGCTCCAAAGGGTTTAATTAAAATGAGCTTTTCCTCCTCTTTTCCTTCATGCCATGCCATGCATGAATTGGCAAAAAAAATCCCTGTGGCTATAGTCTGAGCTTCTGTGTGCACTCATGCTTTTCCACGGAATGTGCCAAGCTCTTGCCTCAGAGAAGTCATGCATTGGCGAGCGGAAGCGAGCTAACCTAATGGCCGGTCCGAACGGCGCGATTTTACGTCGTACGTCGTTCAACTGCGCATGCTCCAGCATTACGCGCTTCGAAAGGGATTTCAAAATTTTCATATGCTGCCTGAATCGAGCGGAATCAGGGGAAACGCAATACAACAGGCGAATATAGGCCCTGACAGAAAGGTGTTATACCTAGAACAAACTCATAGATACGAATAAGAACACAGTTTTCAAACCACATGGACCGAATTGGAAGGTACCGGTGGACGAGTAACAGTCACTGAAAAGAAGGAGGACGCCACAAAGTTCAGCCTGAGTCTGGACAAAATAAAGCACCCTACAGTGTTCTCCATCTGCGTGTTCACCAGCGGAGGACCAAGAAAATGCATTACGTGTGAGCACTTTTTCGGCGGCAGAAGTCCACCCAATAGACCCCCAGTTCTAGCGGAGGGTTTTATAGGAGCCCAAGTCCAAATGTCACTCAAAGACCAGTTGCACGAGAAAGGGAATCGTGTTGATCCTCAGGAGTGGATCGATTCCGGGAACTGGTACGTGATTCGGTGTTCTCACAGACAAGGACTAAAGTCTGGATCGAGGCTTTGCATCAAGAGAGCCCCAAGCGGAGAGTTTGAATTGGGAGCTGTTCCTTCAATCAAGTGCCAGGGAAAAGAGTCATTCATGCAATTTGGTCTGGAAACTGTTCCCGTGGAGTCCTTCGAATATAACTACAAATATACGGCAGTGGCTAACTTCTAACAGTTTAGTATATTAGGCCTAGACTATAGCTACGGATTTTGCCAGATGGACAGCTACTAATAATTATTCTGTGCAAACTAAGCTGCTGATGATAATAGTTGTACAATCAGTCCGACTGACAAGGGCGTCGCACGCAGTGCCGAAAAGTGCGACGCATTGCATGTCGCATTGTGTAGATAAGTGACTGAAATGTTTTCAGTCGGATATAATATACTCTGTCCCGATGTGTTCGATTTGCAATGAAGCATTCTAAATTTTGTCGTATTCGAAATCACAGGCTTTTAACACTCCCCAAGGCCGACTTCGTTCATATATAGTCCCCCCGCGTGGGCGATCTCGTGTGAACGTGAGGATAGCCGTTAGCTCTTCCATGTGACTGCAGATGACAGAGACTCTGAGGAAAGTATCCTTTTAGTTACGCTCTGTAACATGTAGGGAAGCAGCTAGCGTTCAACCTATTTCCAGCCGTCTGTTTCAGACCGTATTGTCTGCCCTCACTAAAGACCAGAACGTCTGTTTTAGTGGTTTTCATCACATAGTTAGTTACAAATTTCTTATAATACTCTTGGTATAATTTTTGTGTTTCCATCTTCTCTTCTGGAGTACACACAATGCATTGCCCCAAGCTGAGGTTATGTAATAGTTAACGTATAGACGGCGAGGCGATACGTACTCCGAGGCTGTTGACTATACCGGACCAGGGCGTAGCCGGAGGCCGGTATGCCGAGGAGGATTTCCTGTACGCGCCTTGATTTGTAGTCCAACTAGCCAATCACAATGCTGAATTTATGCTGTGTCATCCTGCACTAATTACTGTTGTGTAAACTTTGGAAGCCACACAATTTGCACTCGGTGCAGCCCGCAGCCCACAGCCCACAGCTCAGAATACAGCATATATTCCTAGCACCGGGTTGTTTGAAGTTGGACTACAAAGTACACATTTGCATAGTAGCAAGGTATTTCCCGGCCAGGTGAAATGGGAGTTGTGAATGTTGTTTATTCAGAAACCCCACCTTCTTCCCTTGCCGAAGAGTGGGGTGTGAATATATACACCATTTTTCATTAGCAGTAAAAAACCCATAACTCACAAGCACAATTTTTTGGTAAGTTTTATGAATGTGGCAGTATAGAAGGGCTAAAAGTGGAACCTAATTGCATTCTTACAATTGTTTTAGCAAATTAATAGAGTGTCCGATAACTATACATTATATTCAGCATTTCCATCTCAAGTATTTATTTGGTGTGACCTGATTGATAAGGACTCACCGCATGAACCAGGGTGCCGACCTATAAAGTTTATTGCCCAGTTTGATAGCCCAAAATTCAGAGAATGCACTTGAAATTTGCCAGAAAGCTGAAAAAAGGAAGTACTGCTCAGTTATAACTATCGTGTACCGAGTGGCAGAGTTTGTCTAGTATATAGCTATTTCACGCTGTATCGAAGGGGTACACCTGGGTAGGATGGCTCATCAGTATCCTCTTTTTGAGTCAGATTATACTCACGTACAAACATTTGGATTCAAAGGCTTTGTTTCTGCTGTATATACATTCCCTGTGGAAGACAGGCTGCTTACTCAGCAAATATTGCACTGAGAGTCATGTGACATTGCATAATGTTACAAAGGCCTCACAGACCTTATGATCCATGTTTTCTTCTTTAAGTCTGTTTTAGTGGTTTTCATCACATAGTTAATACTCTTGGTAGCTAGCTATTTTGTGTTTCCATCTTCTCTTCTGGAGTAGCTACACACAATGCATTTCCCCAAGTTGAGGTTATAGTACACATTTGCATAGTAGCAAGGTATTTCCCGGCCAGGTGAAATGGGAGTTGTGAATGTTGTTTATTCAGAAACCCCACCTTCTTCCCTTACCGAAGAGTGGGGTGTGAATATATACACCATTTTTAATTACAGTAAAACCCATAACTCACAAGCACAATTGTTTTATAAGTTTTATGAATGTGGCAGTATATATAGAAGGGCTAGGTTTAACTAAAAGTGGAACCTAATTGCATTCTTACAATATTAGAATGTGGCAGAAGACTAAAGATGGAACTATAGTAGGGCCCAATGCAGTAGGTTTCCATTTCCTTACAATACTACTGTCACATTCTTTTACACATGTTACAGTTCGTGTCATATATGAATGTAAATGTATCTTTTCCCCCAGAGTCATTGGTAAGGTGGTGGAGCAGGAGTTTTTCCCGTCGGATGTCCTCAGAGCTAGAGCTGCTGAGAAGCAGAGGAGATCTCCCACACCCTCCCTCGTCACTCCGGTGGAGACAACCGAGGAGACTCATAATCATGCAAACAACTCAACACAAAGCAGAACTACCGTATTTCACGACCCTCTCTGACACAATCATATCACTGTGGCTCTCTATTTACGACCTGATACTAGGGGTTTTTTAAAAAGCGAAATGCACAAACTGTGTGGTGTTTATTCAGGACTGGAGTGTGTGTTTAACAACATGATTGCGTTAAAATTATTGAAGCGAATTTTTTGGGATCAGCGGATTCAAATGCATAATTATGGAAACACTTGCTCGATTATGCTGACGTACCTTTCACCCTCTTGGCCTAAGAAAGTTCCTTTGCTAATGGAGGTAAAAAAGCAAACCCTAGAGTAATGCAAGCCTATCTAGAAAGATGCTGTGACTGGGTACGTTTAGCCAAGTTGGCAGTCAACCTACAAACACTGCCTGCGTGCGTTGGATAGTACACACCTGTCTATGGCTAGTCAGCTATGGACTAATATCAGTCGCTGATCAGCCATCACCATGTGGCTACAGTCCGTTACCTGCACCCCTGACCTGCTTTGCCTCCTAAATGTCTCCGCAGAGAAGAAAGACAGAACAGGGGTATATAAGCAGAAAACGTATCAACACACGAACATAATTTTCTCTTCACACCACCACCCTTGAGTAAAAATAGGAGTCATTAGATCAAAGAGGGCTGAGGGAAAATGAGTGACACCTCTAATAGAAGGTAAGGAGTTCATTACAATAAAATCTCTTGAAAGTGAGTAGTGAAATGTGTAGACCTCCCAGGGAAGACACCACGCATGTGGCTATAATTATACTACACTACTAATGACATTGACCTTTGGTACTCCCCCAATGCATGATTATATATGGCATTTCCTTCTACTTTCTGGAGCATAGCACATATCTACATGTTGAGGCATCTGCATGGTAGCAAGGTTTCTCGAGTTGAAAATAAAATATGGAGCTGTGAACAGTTATCCTCATTGTTTATTCATAGAGAGCACCAACCCCCTGTGATTCATTACATAATCACAAGTTGTATGCACACATGGATGATAATTATTGTATGAAGTTGATCTTGAATGTGTTTAAGCTAATATAGGCCCTGACAGAAAAGTGTTATACCTAGAACAAACTCATAGATACGAATAAGAACACTTTTCAAACCACATGGACCTTAACTATGACTCCAATCATTATGAAAGAGGTGACAATGTGTCCAGAGCCTCCATAAGTCCATAAGAATTTATATGGATGTTATAATACTAGGCGTTAATACTTAATACATCCCATGGCTCCAAAGGGTTTTAATGAGCTTTTCCTCCTCTTTTCCTTCATGCCACGCCATGCATGAATTGCCAAAAAAATCCCTGTGGCTATAGTCTGAGCTTCTGTGTGCACTCATGCTTTTCTAGGGAATGCGTTAATACTACATCCCATGGCTCCAAAGGGTTTTAATGAGCTTTTCCTCCTCTTTTCCTCCTCTTTTCCTTCATGCCATGCCATGCATGAATTGCCAAAAAAATCCCTGTGGCTATAGTCTGAGCTTCTGTGTGCACTCATGCTTTTCCACGGAATGCGTTAATACTACCTCCCATGGCTCCAAAGGGTTTTAATGAGCTTTTCCTCCTCTTTTCCTCCTCTTTTCCTCCTCTTTTCCTTCATGCCATGCCATGCATGAATTGCCAAAAAAATCCCTGTGGCTATAGTCTGAGCTTCTGTGTGCACTCATGCTTTTCCACGGAATGTGCCAAGCTCATGCCGCCTCAATGATGTAATAGGAGTGTTGGTATAACTGGAACGTTTTTTCATCACCTCTCAAGGCCAGCCCGAGTGGCTAGGTGGTTAGAGACGTGGGGACTGTCACATAAGGTGCCCGGTTCGTATCCGATCCCGCACTAAAGTGTCAGGTGGTCCAGAGCATTGGCTGGGAACAGCTCTGGTTCCTCCCCTTACCCACAAATCTACCACTGACCCACGTTTCTCAAAAGGCAGCGTACAGTTCGAAGGCTGGGCGTTTTTTGTTTTTTTTTCAACCGTGGGTTTTTAAAACTTTTTTTTTTTGCACTAAACAATCCACGGGGAATACGAAAATTAATAGAGAGATAGGTTGGCAATTTTTCTACCTTATATATATTTTTGGCCTCAAACAGAAATAGGGCTGCCCATTTGTTTTCAATGGAAATGGTGCATAACATGCTGTTCTTTTTTATGCATGGTCAAGACCATCAATTGTGGTGGTGCCACACTTGTGTATGGGTTCCACATTTCTATAGAGTGTGCCGAGGGTTTGCACTTTAGTGCTTTTCATTGGGTCTGTCTGTTTGTCTGTTTGTCTGTTACTCTATATCTCACTCCTCGAGCGTCTGTTCGTCCCAGAAACGATACCATCTACCCAACGGGCGACGAAGGTCAGAAAATAAAGGCGGTTTTCTCTGAAAATGCTCCGTTGCAAAGCTAGAGCGATTCCGGTATTCTGCGGCTAATGCGTAGTCGGCCATTTTTATCGCTGCGGAAAATGCTCTGTGTATCTTGAAGGCACAAGAAGTCACAACGAAGGGCGTGTATCGACTCTCGCATGCTATCTACTACTGTAGCTAGTCCGTGTCAGACTCTCTGCGAGCTACTAGCGCATACTACTAGGCAATAGCCCAGCCCATCAATCAGCAGTATCGCGCACGCGCAGTTCGCCGAGGGTTTGCACTTTAGTGCTTTATTACGTAGGCATTGGCATACGGAACACCCTGTTCTACGTTTCAAGACAATGCCACAAGAATTAAACGTCCGGCGAGAGCATTGAAACACAGAAGAGCGGATAGATTGAATAAAGCAAATATGAGAGCCTCTGAAACACCTGAGCTATTGCTCTAACCGCTAATGCAACTACCTTGTGTTACGGCGAGACTCGCGTTATACTGGCTCCGCCGATGACGCACGCCCAGCATACAGCAACTCGCTAGTTTACCGCCGAGGGTTTGCACTTCAGTGCTTTTCATTTTCATCAGTAGTATATAGAGTGCGCAGGTCCTGCTGCCCTCGCAACATTATATATATACTATGATTCTGGCACAGCTTTTCCCTCTTCATGGCTCACGTCCGATATCGCACTGAACGGTTGACCACTGGGTAGCTATCAGGCTGAAGAATGTGCATATTATTGTCAAAAATTTTACAGGCAGTGTTTTAAAGTAGAGTTCCATGACAGAGAGCAGTGACTCAGCTGGAATGCATAATGTAATTATAGCAAAGAACACACATACTGTCACATGTGGGTGCGTGTAACGAGTGGCATAGCCTGCAGAAGTTCCACCAGTTGAGCAGCTGTCGGACGTCTGTCTTTGTCTACGTTCTGACACTGTCTTATTAGGTTCAAGAGTCTGGTATAGTCGATGGACTCCATCAGCTCAGCACGACGCTCAGGAGCAGGGAAATCACACGTACACATCTCCACCAGGAGCACACCGAAACTGTAGATGTCCATCTTGGGTGTCTGGAGAGCAGGATCGCGGGACTCGGGGGCAGTGTACACTGGACTGCCGGGATTCACAGTCTGAAGTTGACTCTGGAAGTTGGCGGTGCCGTAGTCAGAGACCTTGGCGAGCCAGCCTCCGTCGGGAGATGGCTGGAGGAGAACGTTGGCACTGCTGAGGTCCCTGTGGATGATGGGGTCGGGGCTCATGTTGTGGAGGTAGTTGAGGGCACGGGACACGTCAATTGAGAGTATGTGTTCCAGGGAGAGAAGTTGTCGTGGACGTCTGTTGACCAGAGCTCTGAGACTAGTCGGCATGAACTCTGTCAGAATGGCCATACCTCCCTCCAGTCTGGCTCCGAGGAAACGCAGCAAGTTGGGGTGGCTGACTCTGGCTGCCACGTCCATTTCTCGTCTGAACAGACGGTGGTGGTAGTCATAAATCAACTGGCTGTGCAGACATTTTGCAGCCACTTTGAGTTTGGCTACTTTCACCACAGCCCACCCTCCAATTCCGAGAGTTTCTTATGTTTCTTCCAACTCGTCTTCCTTCACTTCCCATGACGGACCTCGCTGCTCGGCTGCAATGGCTTGCTCTTGAACAGCCAACTTTTCGCTGTCCCTCCAATCAAATTCAACCAGCCTCTGCTGTAGCTGACTGGCTCGTGCTTGACAATGCTGCAATTCCACCCTCTCCTTCTCTCTTCTTCTCTCCAGCTCTCTTATCCATCTCTACTTCTCTGCCTCCAACACCTTCAACCTCACCCTATCTTCCTCCAGCTTCATCGCCCTCACCTTTTCTCTGTCTTTCTCTCCTTCCAACTCCCTCACCCTTTCCCTTGTCTTCTCAATTTCTTCCTCCAATACCTTCACCCTCTCCATTTCTCTGTCCCTCTCTCCCTCCAACTCCTCCTTTCCCATCTCCTTTTCTTCTTCCAACACCTTCACCCTCTCCATTTCTCTGTCCCTCTCTCCCTCCAACTCCCTCATCCTCTCCTTTTCCATCTCCTTTTCTTCCTCCAACACCTTCACCCTCTCCATTTCTCTGTCCCTCTCTCCCTCCAACTCCCTCATCCTCCCCTTTTCCATCTCCTTTTCTTCTTCCAATGCCTTCACCTTTTTCCATTCCCTGTCCCTCTCTCCCTCCAACTCCCTCGCCCTCATCCTTTCTTTGTCCCTTTCTTCCTCAAACTCCCTCACCCACACCCTTTCCCTGTCCCTTTCTCCCTCTAATTCCCTCGCCCTCTCCTTTTCTCTGTCCCTCACTCCCTCCAACTCCCTCACCCTCTCCCTTTCCCTGTCCCTCTCTCCCTCCATTACCCTCACCCTCTCCCTTTCTCTGTCCCTCTCTCCCTCCATTACCCTCTTCTCCTCCCTGGCTCTGTCCCTCTCTCTTTCTAGGTGCAGTCTCTCCATTCTTGTCACCTCACCCTCTCATGTGGATTGCTGCCAGCTCTCTGCTGTGTAGCGGAATTTCTCCATCATTCTCTGCTGTGATCCAGCTGTGTGTTGTTAACTATAGAGAGTAGCTCCCATTCGGATGTCTCTGAAAGTCCTGAGTAAAGAGGGAAAAATGAAAAGGGCCATTTTCTGTGCATGTTTATCCTTACTGAGCTGCAGTAGAGTTGTGTCTGCTTTTTTAGGTTGTTTCTCGTCAGATCCAATAAATTGGTCAGGAGTGCCTCCAAACTCTATCACATCTGTGCGTCCTGAACCAAGGCTAAAGGCGGTCAGGAAGTGCCAATAGCGAGCCTTCAGAGCAACATTTTCTTCCTAAGTGTTAATAATGAGACCATTGTATGTATAATTACAGAGCAGATAGTAGGCATGTGTCAACATTGAGGTAAAAGTGAAGTAAAGGCAAACAACATTACATATCTATAATAGGACAACTCTTAGAAAAGAGCTGCCCTGGGTAGTATTCGAACTCACGACACTCTAGACAAGCTACTACTCTATATATACTACCAAGCTATATTGTATCTAAATAGTCACAAAAACCAAGCCTACATGTAGTGTACATAAGTGTTCAATCTCACCTTTCTCCATATGGCTCTCTCTATGTCGAGAATCCACATGTCAGCTAGTGCCTGGCCCTCACTGTACATTCCCCCAGTCACCAACAGTTGAGGGAACTGCTGGCCATAGTTGAGACAGCAAGCTGCATGTGCACTCCTCTCCTTCGGCCAAGGTCCACCTTCTGACTTGAGTTTACTCCAGTTCTGGAAAATCCGTAAAATTCATGCCCGAATAAATGCCTGGCACCACACAGAAAAATAAGTGAGGGGGAATCATAGTTGTGCCTAAAATTGTGTATTGCAAGCATGCAAAGACGTTTCACTTAATGGGGATAAACAGCGAAGCATTTTACGACATGATAGCTACCCATCCTTGTTGACTGTAAATTATCTTTCCTCCACTTCACGAAAACAGGCAGCGGTTTTTAGCATAATAATTATGTAGTTAGTTTTGAGCACATACTTTTGAATAGCAACACGGGATCTCAAAACTACATGTGACAACAACTATTCTTAAACTCAATTACTAAGCGTAGTCTTGCCTGCTCTCAATCGCAAAATGATTATTCACGGTCATATAATTATTCATAGTTCGTTTTAGTGCTACGACGTTTAGGGACACAAACATCTCAATTATATATAGCTATTATAATACACATACAGGCATGCTAATGCAAGCACTCACTGAGCATTGGGACTACGTATCATTCATTGTCTCTTAAAGGTGGAGTCGGTAAAATATTGAGCATGCTTCACTAAAAGGCTTGCATCACCACAAAGAGGACTATGATGGAATTTTAGGACTAGGAGCAGATATGTTGCCTCCATGACTGGCTTTAGTGCTGGCTTTGCTCTTCTAATTATGCAGATTACCATAGTGGGGATGTCAATGAGGAAGACATTGTTCATTTTGCCTAGCTCTCCATTGTTTCCACCAAACATGACTGCCCTCTTGTCATCCACTGCAGTGAATGTAAACGCTGCACATGGAGGAGGTCTCTCTCCAGTGGTGGCAGGACAGCTCCACACACCTGTAGGGGAGATAGGGGAGAAATATGTTGTCGTGTGAAAAATAATATTGAGCAGCTTGAGGCTGAGAGAAATGAATGACTCCCATCAAACCACACTATTTTGCTATGAAAACTACACATCATAGCCAATAATTATTGTCTGATACAATTTTGTGCTATGGGGAAAAAAACTGGAGAAAGCTCAAGCATACTCCTCTTGCATGTTATGCCCTGGTTGTTTTTTGAGCTATATATATACCTTCTGAGAGGTTGTAGATATGTAACTCATTAGTCCATCCACTGCCATCAGAGACTCTGGTGTTCTTGATAAATGATGTCGGTTCTGTAGGTCCTCGAGGTATTCCATACCCACCAATCACCACTAATAAGTTCCTAAATGCTACCATTCCACAGTTACACTTGGGCATAGGAGCTCCGTCTGCATTCTGGGGTGACAGTTGAGTCCAGCACCACGTCTTAGAGTCCAGTTTGTGGACGGTGTTGAAGCCATATCCTCCAAACGAGAAGAGGTCGCCACGGAGGGATGCACTGGCTGCAAGATACATTCCAGGCGAAGGAGCATCTCCTTTGACTTTTCTTTGCACCCACGACTCAGAGTAGGGGTCGAATATCTCTACAACGGAGCTCAGATGTTGCCGGTTCTTCTCTTTTGTCCGTCCTCCCTGGACTATTATTTTGCTACCTACGCTCCCTGCGATGTGGCTAAATCTTGGCAGTGGTTCGTACTTGGTAGAGGATCCAGTCAACCAAGGCAGTATATTTGAAGCCATGAGAGTGTAGCTAAAAGCTATTTCTATCTATAGTGGGGGCGTAGCTGACACTGTGGAAAACACGGCTATGCTGGTCGAGACCGATGTAGCGCGGGCCTGAGCGAGATACCCTAACGGAAAGGGTTCGTAAGCGACCATTGCCGGTGCGCATGCGCACCAGTAAAAGCAAGCTGTCGCGCGCTGGC